GTATAGTATTACTATATTTAATAGCAAATTTTATTTCATTTTGCAAAACTTTAATGATTTTATTATTTGTATAGTGGAAATATCATTATAATTGTCAGAAAAAATCATTTTCAAAATTTATTCAATTCTTTGGATTTACCCAAGATCCAAATAATTTAAATTATATAATAGTATTGAGTTATGCAAAAAAAGGTAGTCTGAGAAAATGTTTATCTGATATAATTAAGTTTGAGTGGCAAGTCAAGTTACAATTGTTGAAGAAAATTATATTAGGACTTAAAGTAATCCATGAATCAAATTTAACTCATGGTGATTTTCATGATGGTAATATATTAATGTCAGAGAATTATGATGAGCTATTTGTTATTGATTTAGGATTATGTAAACCTATAAGTGATTCACAAGATAATGATAACGAAATTTATGGGGTTTTGCCTTATATGGCACCTGAAATATTAAGAAATAGTCCCTATACTCCAGCAAGTGATATCTATAGTTTTTCAATGATAATGTGGGAATTTACATCAGGCATTCCTCCATTTAATCATGAAGCACATGATTATGATCTGATCTTGAGTATTTGTGAAGGAGAACGTCCTGAAATTATAAAAAATACTCCAAAATGTTATATAGATTTAATGAAAAAATGTTGGGATTCAATTCCTTCTAATAGACCAACAATAGCGATGCTTGAAAATATTATTTCTGAATGGATTAAATGTATTAATGAGTATTATAAATTAAATGGAGATGGAAACAATAAATACGGAGTACCTAATATTGATATTAAATTAAAAAATGAGATGATGGAATTTGTAGAAGCAAACAAAACTTTAGTACAAGAACAAGCAAATACTTTTATTATACAATCTCATCCACAATCATGTTATACAAGTCGTAAACTTATTGAAATTTTTGTTCAAGAAGAGTCTCAGGGTTTTGATTGTGCAATTAAAGATTAATAATCCTGTTATTTATTTTATAATATTTATATTGTGCGATTTTATCAATTTACAATAGAGTATATACAAATATGATAATTATTAGAAAGCTAGTTACTATTTGTATTATTGCTTTAGAATACTTTATATTGTGTATTTATAACTAGTGTACTTTTGGATATAGCGAGTGAGTTTATTTTTAAAAGTATACTAATAAATTAATAAAAGATTTTTTTATAACAATAGATTGTGTTTAGTGAGATTTATAAAAAAATCTAATGAGATTTTTTTTTAATAATAGTTTGGTATAAAAAAATTTTCTAGGATTTTTTTAATAATAATATATCGGTAATAGACAATTAACTTATTAACTGAAGTTAATAATTGTTTTTAGTAAGATTTTTTTATAATTCACAGTAACACTAATATAGAGCTTGGACTTGCACTCGTATAACTTGAGTTGACTCAAGTTGGACTTGCACTCGTATAACTCAAGTTGACTCGAGTTGTACTCATACTCGAGTCAGAAATTTCTTGACTCGAGTCAACCGGGATCACGTGGTTGATAGTGCCGGCTGAACCCTATTTGTAATTCCTGCCGGCACTATGACTATAACGGTCTGGGTAAAATTATGGATAAGTTTTTTAGCCTGCACTTTAACTTTGACTCAAATTAACTCAAGTTAACTCAAGTCCTGACTCAAGTCCTGGACTTGAGTACTCTTCAGGTCAAAAAAATTCTTGACTTGTTTTACTCGAGTTGACTCATCCTGACTCGAGTCCAAGCCCTACACTAATATTAATAATAAGTAATGATAATAAAAGATTTTTATAACAATAATTACATTTAATAAGGTTAATAAAAAAATTTTCCGAAATTTTTTTAATGGTATAGTACAATAGATAGATATAATAAAATTTTCTGAGATTTATTTTAATAACAATAGTTATGATAAATTTTTGGTGATTATTATTTTTTTTTTAATAACAATAATAGATTGATATCATAGTACAATGGATGGTATCCCTTAAACTGTTTTGCAGCCAAATTTGCCTGCAATTTTGTTTTTTAATTAAAGACACTTTTAAATATCTTAAAATATTTTATTACATAAATCAATGTTTTTGTAATAAATTCTATAGTATTTTCTAAGTAAAAATCGAAAAAAAAGTTCAATTTGATTAATGATTTTTTAAAAGTAAATGATCAACAAATTATAATAAATAGTAGCTAAATTTTTCAAATTGAAATATCTTTTTATCCATTAACCCTAGAAATATAAAATTACCACCATTTGATGCGTCTTAATGAGAAGAATCTGATAGAAATAAAATTATTCTTCTACAAATATTATGTGACAGGATAACTTATAAAATCTAAAAATTTATAAATTAATATAACTTTTTATCTATCAATTTTAGAGTTATGATTTTATTACCATTAAATGCACCTTAATAAGAGGAATCTAACAAATATAATTTCATCTTTCTATGATCACTAGATCTTAAAATATTTTAAAAATTCAAAAATTTTAAAAATTAATTTTAACCCCTACAGTTTAAGGGATAGTACAATGGATTGATTTAATAAAATTTTTTGTGATTTTTTTTAATAATAATAGATTTGTAATAGACAATCAAAAATGTTGCAAAAACATTAAAAACTGAACTGATAATGAATTGGTAAATCAGATCTGTTTTCAATAATTACTGGTCACAGTAATAATTGTCTATTACCAATCTATTGTTATTAAAAAAAAATCACCAAAAATTTTATCATACCTATTGTTATTAAAATAAATCTCAGAAAATTTTATATCTAGCATCTATTGTAC